TTGAATACCCTCCACCATTTGGAAATAAAATTATTTATATGGGGGCTATATGGAGACATGGTGCTGGATAAGTCATTTTCTGTTATAGGCTCTAGTAACGATCCAGAACTTCAAATACGAAATTCAAAACAATTCCGGTGAATAATGTCGCGAAAATCCTGGAAATGCCGAATATCTCAGGGTAGCGTTCTTTGGGTGCTATACTAATACGTAGACCTATATAGACAAATCTCTTCCAGGTGTAGAGTGCTCAGAGAGAACTTTTTGTGTGGATTTTCATTAAAAAATGTGGCTAAAATCATCAAAATACCCAATATCGGGGACACCTTTGTTTGGGGGATATACCATATCCTGGACCTATATAGACAATTCTCTTTCAGGGTATAAAGTACTTCGTTTAAAAATGTGGCGAAAATCACCAATATAACAATATTGTGGACCTATATCAGACCTGCTCAAAACCCTGTTCTAGAACATGAACCGAAAAAAACAGATAATTTAAGAGAAAATTAAAATTCAGTTTTTCTTTATATTTTACGATTCCATTTAATTTTTTTCAAAGATGAATGTTTTTCAAAATAATTTATAAAGCATATGGATAAAAAATATTTGTATAAATAATTACTTAACACTGTTTTGTTCTTGATTTAAATAAGCAAAGAGAATTTTTACTCGAAAGTGATATTTTTTCTTGAACAGTGCTGACCTGTAAAGACAATTCTTTTTCAGGGGCTAGAATTTCAGACAATGTCATTGAAAAATGTGACTAAAATAATATAAATACCGAATGAATACCTGCCTACTGGTAAACTATGCATGTAAGCAAAATTTTAGCATTCTACCTCAATTCGTTCGAAAGATAGTGTGATTAGAAAATACAGACAGACGGACATCGCTAGATCGTCTTAGAATTTTACGCTGATACAGAATATATATACTTTGTAGGGTCTATTATGAATATTTCGAGAAGTTACAAACGGAATGACAAAGCTAATATAACTCCATAATATGGTGGAGGGTATAAAGACACAAAACAGAACAATATTTTGAATAGTTTTTAGAAAACCACGCCTTTCTACAAAAAAAGTGAGGTAAAGCCCAACTTTTCATATTTCTAAAGAGATTTAACAATTGCTTTTAAGTGACAAATGATGGCTTTGAAGTGAGGTTATGATCAATAATCTGCGTTCTATATCAGCAAAAAACTCTACATATTACATATGATATTAGAGTCATATGTTATATTGTTTATTTCTAAAAAAAAGTGAGGTTAAGACCAACTTTTCATATTTCTAAAGAGATTTAAAAATTGGGTTTAAGTGACAAATGATGGCTTTGGAGTACTGTCAAATCTGCCACAAAAAGAAAATAACCAAAGCTTCTTTAATAGGGTTTGAATATAATTTTTAAAAAGTGAGATTATGATGAAATCTGCGTTCTATAACAGCAAAAACCATTGCATATTACAAATCATGTTAGTTACATGTTATATTGTTCATTTTTATAGCATACTTTCAGGCGCTCACGAAGAATTATGACAGAGCACACACAAAAATGTCGTTTTCTTTTATTAAAGAAAATACCATGGTAGTTAGCTTCTGATAGGCTGAAATATTAAGCTTGACATTTTTATACCCGCTACCATACATAGTATGGAAGATATATTAATTTCGTCATTCCGTTTGTAAATCATCGAAATAATAATTTTAGACCCAAAAAGTATATATATTGTTGATCAGAGTAAAATTTTGAGACGATTCTGAGTCCGTCGGTTGTAATCACGCTACAGTCAAAACGAATTAAGATAGGAAGCTAAAACTTTGCACAGATCTGTCTTTTATCTGCATGCAGGTCAAGTTCGAAGATGGGCTATATTATTCCACGATATCGTATAGCCCCCATATATCGGCACCTTCCGCTATTCGGTATTTTTACGATTTTAACAGAATTTTATAATGGCTTTTATTTTTTTATTTTTTTGAGAAAATTTCCTAACTCGTACCAAATGGTGGAGGGTGCTCAAAGTTCGGCTCGACCGAACCTACTGCCTTTTTACTTGTAGAATGAAATATTTTTCTTAGTTATTAATTTTACCTTAAAAAAGTGCGGGAACACAACAAATTTGAATCCCTGTCGCCTTCATTAACTGGAAGGGAGTTACAATCACGTTGAAACTTTCCTTTTCATTCCTTGTATCCTAAAAGTATGGATATATGAAATGTCTTATTTTTGGACAACAACTTTAATTGAAGAGAAGAGATCTAATCACACTATATTTCTGCAAGTTTTGCATTCAGTCATTAAGTGTATCTATCAATAGGAAGTTTCGCCATTGTTGACTCAGCAACATTTTTTCTTAGAACCAAAATAAGGACACTGACTTCCAAATGGGAATGTGATGACATGAATTTGAATTAATGAAAATTATGTAAATTTTAATATCAAACTTTGTTGCTGCGACAAATAAAATATTTCGTTTTCTACCACGGGCGTAGTTAAAAAATAATGGCATGTTTCTCTAAGGCAATTGAAAGGCTTCGTTCGCCTCATATTCGAATGAAATCCAGTTTGGGTAACAGTTACTTCACTTTTTTGCCTTCTATTCGAATTGTAACTACAATCGATAACTCGAAGGTAAGCGTACGCGTTTTGGAAAAAAATTAAAAAAATTGCAAAATCGGCTACTATATGAAAGATTTAGAGAAAAACAACCTTGATTTCACATAAGAGGCTTGTAATGTACACAGATTTAAAAACATTTTAGAAATAATTGAAAAAAAAATTATAGAATTCACAATGGAATTCTAATTCCCCCAAAATTCCCGTTTGAAATACCAAATCGTTGAAGACAATCTGCAAAATACCAAAAATTTCTCGTATTCAGCTCTTATCCCTCTTTAACTAATATCAATATCTGATCTTTAAAAATATAAATATTTTTGATCTTGAATTCTTGGCTTTTTTTCTTGTAAACATATTCTCAAATTTTCCTGTTTTTAAAAAATGTTTTTTTCGACAGCATAACATTACGGAAGTAATCTAATTTTGAAAACGAATTATTAAACCTCATTTGTTATAAACATGCAAGGATCTGCTTCTGTATGACGATACGACAAAAAAAAACAAACATTCCAAATGAATTTTACAAATATTTTTTGTTCTAAATTCAACAATTTTGAAAACGTATTCGGAATGGTGATTTCGTAAGCATTAAACTTCGTAGCGTCATACAGAAACAGGCCCTTAAAGATGGTATTTGAAAAAACTAAAATTTTTGTTGAATGTCTAACGTTTGTTTTGCATTTTTTAATAAACAACTTATTTCTTCTTCTTTTTTCATTTTGTAGGTTTGGTATACGGTGTTTTTGTTGTTGAAATAATATATGTAAATAATTCACTTTGAGTTTTGTTTCTTCTTTTTTAATATTGAAAAAAAAATATTTTTGTAATTTTTGTTTTATATTTTTATTTATTATTAATTAATAACTTAAAGCGATTTATAAATTGTTTTCTTTTATTTTTCATTTAAATGTAAATTTATTTTATATCATAAAATTTATGATTCTCTTATTCCCATACAATTTTGCTATAATTTTTTTGTTTTTATCGGTTTTATGTTTTTGTCATTAATAAATACATAACAGATTTGTTTTAGTATATAATATGTATATATATAAATTGTTTTATTTTATTTTATTTATATTTCCATTTGTTTTGCCTATTTAGTTGTTTTTTTCCGTTGGATATGATTATTATACAGGGTATGACAAAATGTGGGATATGAAACAAAAATGTATCAAGAAGTGGCTGGTTTTGAATTATGCCTCAAAAGGAATAACAACATTTTTGAAAAATTCCTGAAACGTATTTAATATTTAGGGTTGAGCTCTGGGGCGAATTATAGCTTCCCAACTCTATGATGTTCCAAATATAAGATATGTTTCATAAATTTAAAATGAAGGAGGGTGAACTACTTTCCCAAAGAAAAAATTGAATTCTAATAAACAATTTTTTATTACAATAATAATATCGAAATCCCTAAAATTTGGAAATAAAATGACAGCACATTTGATCTTCAATAGAAAATGAAACTATCTTTATTTCGTAGACAATATTCCAAGACCAAATGAATACCGAAATGCTTTCCATAAAAAGGCCAAAGAATTTCTATAGGAACACCAAATGTTTTTCTAAGAAAAAGGGTGTCTACAAAGAAGCCCACTGGCTCTTCATTAGGAATACCAAATTACCGACCATTAGAGGAGATCAAATTATTTTTCTACTTGACAAAGAGAATTTAGAGCAATTCAACATTTAATTTTAAAAAATTTCTTGAGCCTCCACATTTCGATGTCATTACACACCTTTTGTGATACCCTGTACACAATCATATACACACGTTAAAACAAAAACAAAGAAGAGTGAAAAACAAGTTTGGGGGATAATATAAAACGGGTTGGAGGGGGGAACATGTTCGTTTCGTTTTACCATTTTAGTATTGGTTTTGTTTTTATCATTGTTGTAAGGTTTTGACATTAGGAAAAAGGAGGTGTTTTGTTGTTGTTGTTGTTAGTGCCTTACACATAATTATAAATATTATAAGATTTTGTTTTCATCTTTTGTTTTATTGTTTAAGAGTTACTTTAAACTTAAATAAAAAAAAATTGATTTTATCATAGAAAATGTTTATTTTTTTATAATTAAATTGTGTGTTTTTTTTTTTGTTTTCATATTTAAGTTAATTTTATTTGTTTATTTTTTTTTTCAAAAGAAAACAAAGACACACATCATTTAAAAAACTTAATAAAAATAAAACAAAAACGTAATAATAATGCTACTATACACAGAGGAAAAGAAAACAAATATATAATTAATTAATTAATATTTAAAAAAAAAACATAATTAAATTACAAAAACATGTTTTCAACTTTGCTAATAAGTTTAGGTTTTTTTGTTTGTGTGTTAATTTATTTTTAATTATTTTGTTTTTATTTTCAATATTTTCTTTTTCATACAAATAACATGCAGCCATTTTCCCTATATTTTCATCAGGTTTCGTTTAAGAATCCAACGGCATGGCTGGCTGGCTGGCGGCTTGGCTTCTTCTTCTTCTATTACTTTTCTTATATATCCGGATTTTTTGCTTTGCACTTATGCTAGGTTTTTAGGGTTCTAGTTTCTCCTTCTTTTTTTATAATTTTCGTATTTCATTATTTTAAACATAAAAAAATTATTTTCAATTATTTTTTTTATTTTGTTTCTTATAAAAATGCATTTTAATTAATATTTCTTTTTTTTTACTTTTATTTCAAGTTGTTCTTAAATTCAAAACATACTATCATCATCATCATCCTCATCGTTATTTTTTGTGTTTTACTTTTTATTTCATTTCGTTTTTTATTTTTTTTTTCACTTAATTAAATTTAAATAAATGCTTACGCTGTGTATGTATGTGTGTGTGTATTTTTCATGTTTGCAGTTGTTTTTTGTTATATACTTAGGTAGGTATATGTACTATGCATGTATGTATATATGTATGTATATATATTTTTAGTAAAAAAAGAACAGACTATTGCACCTAAATGTTACGTAGAACGTGTGTATGTGTGTTTATTTGTAATTTCATCAGTTTTCATAATATGCTGCTGCAGTGTTGGTTGGTTGGTTTTGTTGGGTTTCTGGAACAAAAAAATATCTCGTTTTTCTTTTGAACAACCAGGAAATATTATAGTTGGGAGCATGAATGGATGGATGGATAGTTGATTGGTTGTGTTTTTGTTGTTGTTGTATATATAGAGGAAATGACATTGTTTCTCATTTCGCCATTTAGGTTTTCAATTTGTTGTTGTTGTGGTTTTTTATTTTCATTTTGCTGGTATGAAGATGCTCGTGTGTTGACACTTTAAATTAAAAACGTATTTTAGGGTCACCTTGTAGTGCTGCTACCGAAGAAGTCTTCTGTAAATGAAAAAAGTTAGAGAAAATGTTAATAAAAATAGTTAAATAAAAAAACAAAAGGACCTCCCATAAGAGATCAGAATGGGTGCAATTGCGCGTTGGATTTTTTAAAGAAACCCAGAATTTATTAAAATGGAGGAGCTGCAGGACATCGCCCTGTTTCTCGAAATGAAGACCATTTACGATCGTTGAAAATATTTAGGGGTTCTCATAGAAAACATCAGGTCAGGTCTTCCTATGAAGGACCAAGTCTCCTACATTTCTTATTATTTTAGTTGGCCAGGAAAACTAAGTATTTTTAAATTTAAGTAGAAGACCATTGGTCCCTTCGGTGAATCCCAGACCATGATTTTTTTCACATTCTAGACGAGGAGGTATTCTCATTTATGACAAGGATTTCTTCTCATAGAACAGGAGGTTTTCTCAATACACAATTTGGACGTCTTACAGAAGACCAGGTGGTTTTTTACTTAAGACCTGGTCAGGGAAACTAAGTCTATTTGAGTAAAAGAAAAGGACCCCTCGATGAATCCAAGATCATCATGTCTTTTCATTCAAGACGAGGAGGTTTCTCATTGAAAACTAGGAATTAGAACAGGAGGTCTCCTCATTAAACAAAGATAAATTAACATCAGATGGTCTTTTAGGGAAGAACAGGAGGACCCAACGCATTCTTATAGAACATATTTTTAAAAACTATTAGGAGATCATCTTATAGAAGACAAAGAGGACTTTTCAAAAAAAGCCAGAAGTTATTTTAAAGAAGTCTCATGGAGTTTATTCCAAAAACACCTCTTCTCACAAAAAACCAGGAGATCCCATGGTAGATCTAATGGTATTTTACGGAAGATTTAGGAGAAGAGGAGAGAAGACTTTTTATACAGAATTTGAAGAGCAGAAGACATATTTAAAAACGATAAAGAAGTTAACTAAGGGCTTTTTATAGAAAACCAGAAGATATTTTGAAGAAAGACAAGAAGGAATTATAATAGAAGAACCTGGCGGTCTTCTCACAGAAGACCAGGATATCTTTACTGCGGAGATCACTCTGTCTTCTAAGACCATAATGTATTCTTGTAGAAATTCTGGAAGTTTATTAGAAGACCTGAAAGTCTTCCCATAGAAGAAAATAAGGTATTCTAATAGAAGATGTGGAAGCCTTCTCAAAGAAGCCCAGAAGAAGTGTGTCAGAAAATCAAAAATCTTCGACCAAAAATCTTAATTTATGAGACAAGCAGTCTCCTAAAGGAAACCAGGAGTTTTTAAAAAAAAAAAGACCAGAGGTGTTTTCATAAAAGACTATGGGATTTTCATCAGAACATCTTTTGAAGATCAGTAGTTCTCTACATAGAGAATCGAAAAAAGCCTCTTATAGAAGACCAGGAGCACTTAAAAAAAAAAAAAAACATATGAGTTCGTAAAAGAAGACTAGAAGTTCTTCCCATAAGAGAACTGGATATCATAAAGAGGTCTTGTAATCGGATACCAGAGGGTAGTATCATAAAAGAAGAGAAAAACTTCTCATAACAGGCAAGGATGACTTCCACAGAATACCAGAAAGCACTTAATAGAAGACCAGACCTATTAGAGTAGAAGTAGTCTTCCATTCCAATGGATTACGAAAAAGCCTCCCATAGAAGACCAAAATATATTTTTTTCAAAGAAGATTAGATAATCTTCTCCAAGTAAAATGGAAAGTCCAGATGAGTTCCACATAAAGGGATTATATGGAAGTTGTTCCCATGTTGCCACAGATGTTACCATTAACAGATGAGTAGTGCTTCAAATGGAAAATATTAAGGATTATCAAGAAGAGATCTACAAAATAATATCAAGTTCTTCTATTAGAAGGGCTAAACGTTTCTAATAGAAGACCGTCTCATTTCAGGGGTTGTACAGAGGATGTTTCAAAGAAAAACAAAAAGGTCTTTCTTAAAAATATAAATAGAAAAAATATAGCAAGGGCTTTTATTAGAAGAGCATCTTGTCTGGATTGTCAGTGTATACATGTGCACAAAAAACAAAAAGGTCTACTTTCGAAGATGAGTAGGGCTTCGTATGGAAGATATTTAGGATCCTTCACAAAGAAGTCATTACAAATTCCCTCAAAAACCTTGTTCCACTTAAAAATGTGTAGTGCTCTGTTTCGAAGATATTTAGAAAGAGATCTGCAGAAGAAATGTGGCAGCTCATAGAAGACCGGACAATCATCTTATATCAGAATATGTATCAAAGATACATAGGGCTCTTCAAGAACAAGGGTTTTGAGTCATCTTCTAAAATACCTCATGGATATCTTATAGGTGACTAGACTAGATTAGATAATATCAGAAGGGAATTCCTTAATATGATTGTAGAGCTTCTTTTAGAAGTACCTCTACTATTGTGGATTTTGAGTGGTATCAGGTTGAAAACCCGAACATTGTGGAGAAAAATTTGTGGGCTCTTGTGACAATTTCAATATAACTTACGTGTATCAAAACTAAAGCTCATCGTTGGATCCGGTGATGAGTGTAACATTGATGCAACACCACCACTTGTACTACTGCTGCCTACAACACCGGAACTATTGGTTGAACCATTACCACTACTTGGTGTCTGGGGCTGTTGCTGCTGCTGCTGTTGTTGTTGGGTCATGGCCATAGGATTTGTATGGTTTGTACCGTGCTGCTGCATCGATCCGGGAACACCAACGCCGCCTTGCGGTGTCTGGGCGCCCAATGGACTTTGAGGTGTGCCAACACGTAAACCACCAGGTATACCGCCACCCGGATTACCACTGTTACCACCACCGCCGGGCACACCATTACCTCCACCAGAATTTGCCGCAGCAGCTGCACGACCACTGACCACAGCGCGCAATTCTTGCTTAACATAATCTGAAGAGGCGGGATTACCAGCTGTAAAAAGAATGAAACAAGAAAAATAGATTTAATCAAACAAAAGACACAACATTTTTGGCTGTTTAAGTTTCTATTAAGCTATGTATTTATATGGATTTGCCTACGTCTTTGGGTTTATTATTTTTATTATTTACACATAGGGGGGAGCAGAAGACCAACACACAACAGTAACGGCAAATATTGTTTTGATTATTTGGATGTGGTTTGGTGGTATGGAGGATGATGAGGTGGTAAATCTTTTTTTTTAATTTTTGGAAATATTATTGGATCACATTTGAGGATTCAATTCTCGTTTGGTTTCTTAAGAATACAGCATTTACAAGTTTTGGAGGTTGTTTTAATTGTTCGTATGTATTATTAGATACTTGGGTGCCTTTTTAGGTGATTTGATGTAGGTGTGTGTTATACATAGAATGGAATATAATACACATAAGGGATTCTTTGTGGGGATAACAAATTAATAAATCTATTTAAATTATTTTTTTTTTAAATAATTTTCGTCATTATAATATTTCAGCGTATAATATCCAATTAATTTAATTTTATGTAGCCGTTCCTTAAAAGAATGAACAGAGATTCCCTCAAAATACCAAAACGGCTACTAATAGAATACTAGGCTTTTATTAAGAGACTTGTGTAGCTTCTTTAAGACGGTCAAAAAGCTCTGTTTGGCCTTTAATGTATTCCCAAAAAATTTAAATATTTCTAAGGAATCTACTTCTAATTGATTGATTGATAATTGATTAATTGATTGAGGGATACAAAAATAGTATTTTCCAAAAAGCCCACGTAAAAAATGAATAATTTAACAGTCTTAAGAAATTCACAATGGAAACCCTAACTAAAAGAATACTAGTTGGGCCTAAAAATCAGTTGGGCCACATACACTTATATCCAAAAATATAATTGGTCTTTAAAACAAAATATTCCCATAAAAAATATGGAGGCTATACCAAGATGTGGACCTGCACAGACAATTTTCTCTCATAGGCTGTAGTGTCCATTACGAACTTCAAATACCAAATTTGAAACAATTCCGGTGAATAATGTCACTAAAATCATCAAAATACCGAATATCGGGTGGTACCGTTATATGGGGGCTATACGAAGATGTGGAGATGCACGGACAATTTTCTGTCATAGGCTGCAGTATCCATTACGAACTTTAAATACCAAATTTGAAATAATTCCTGTGAAAAATAGGAAGGTATCGTTATATGGGCGCTATACGAAGACGTGGACCTGCATGGACAATTTTCTGTCATAGACTGCAGTATCCATTACGAACTTCAAATACCGAATTTGAAATATTTCCGGTGAATAGTGACGCTAAAATCATGAAAATACCGAATATCGGCAGGTGCCGTTATATGGGTGCTATACGAAGGCGTGGACCTGCACGGACAATTTTCTGTCATAGGCTGTAGTATCCATTACGAACTTCAAATACGAAATTTGAAACAACTCCTGTAAATAATGTCGCTAAAATCATAAAAATGCCGAATGTGGGGAGATGCCGTTATAAGGGGACTTAACGAAGGCGTGGACCTGCACGGACAATTTTCTGTCATAGGCTACAGTATCCATTACGAATTTCAAATACCAAATTTGAAACATTTCCGGTGAATGATGTCGCTAAAGTCATGAAAATACCGAATATCGAGAGGTGCCCTTATATGGGGGCTGTACGAAGCGTAAACCTGCACGGACAATTTTCTGTCATAGGCTGCAGTACCCATTACGAACTTTAAATACCAAATTTGAAACAATTCCGGTGAATAAATACCGCTAAAATCATCAAAATACCGAAAATCGGGAGATGCCGTTATATGGATGCTATACGAACTCGTGGACCTGCACAGACAATTTTGGGTCATAGGCTGCAGTATCCATTACGAACTTCAAATACCAAGTTTGAAACATTTAAGGTGAATAATGTCGCTTAAATCACTAAAAAAAAACGAAAATAGGGAGGTACCATCATATGGGGGCTATACCAAAACGTGGACCTACGTGGCCCATTCTCCATACCAAAAGTCCTGCAGACCTACTTCATTTCATTCGAAAGCTAAAGTGATTTTCACAGACGGGCGGACATTCGCTAAATCGAATTTTATGCTGTGGGGTCTAAAATGTATATATCGAGGCGTTACAAACGGAATGACGAACTTAATATACCCTCCATACAATGCATGGGGTATAAAAATAAGGTTTAGCTGTGCAAGTTCGGTTGGCTTTAAAATAAAATATTCGCTCACAATGTAAAAGTAATCCTAAATTTTTTTTCTCTCTCAAAAATCCCTAGAATCTAAGACACAATCCTGCACATAAAGGAGTCCACTACCAAGTACAGATCCTAAAACGTCTACAACTCTTTGTCGGCATGTCAAATTTATGATTTCCATATATATTTTATCCAATAGTTTTTTTTGGGAGGGATATACATGTATTTATATATACGGGTGTTGTTGTTTGGTTTTTGGATGGGGGTGGGTAAGAGCAATAGTAGTGGTAATGGATGATATTTGTTTTTGTTGGTAATTACAAAAAGGTTACACACTGTTTGTACTCCTCTTACCGGTCGTCTGATTGGATCGACCATAGAAATCATTGGTTGAAGGCGCTGCTGATGACAAGGTAGCATTGGATGATGAGTTCTGTTGTTGTTGTGATATTGTTTGGCTATTGTTGTTGATGTTATTGTTAGTAGACGATGAATGATGGTTATTAAACATTAAACTGATGCCATTGGTTCCTACTACGACTCCACCTCCTCCACCGACATCACCACCGCCACCACTACCACCATTGGCCGTTAGGAAACCATTCATATTGGCATGATTGGCTGAGGCCGCCGTTAAACCATTTAATAGATCGACAACAGCTGATCCCATAGCATTATCCGGACCAGTGTTACTATTCGCAATGGAATTCGGATGTGTATGGTGTGTGTTATGATGATGATGTTGATGACGATTTGGCTGCTGGTGTGTATGTTGTTGCTGATGATGCAGGTGGTGATGGTTAAGGTGGTGTTGTTGCGATTGCTGCTGCTGTTGTTGTTGTTGATGATGGTGGTGGTGTTGTTGTTGTGATTGGTGACGGTTATTATTATTGCTGTTGCTGTTGTGGCTATGGTTGTTGTGGTGATTGCCAAATGATCGCGGCGATCCTAAATTGATTTAGGTTGTTTTATGTTTGTAGTGATTTTGTTTTTATATTTGGGGATTAGGTGTTTTAAAGCATTAATAAGCAATGGGGAAAATATGCTATAAGGAAATTCTAACAGATCTTGTAATAAGGAAATGTTTTCCTAATGGATTTCACAATCACAATTTTGGTTCCATTAAGTAAAACGGTTAAATATAATATGTCTGAGAAGAATGAAGATCTGAGTACTTTTTCGAAATAAATAAAAATCAGGCATTTGAAAAAATAACACTCAAGGAATGGCTGTTGTTTTGTAAACTTGAATTTTCAATCGTCGTACATAAACAATCCCTAAATATGTAATACATTTCTGGCACGCAACCTGATTTATGAACTTCGATCTAAATTTATGAACTTAGAAAGTAACATATGAAGTATCCAAAATAACACAAATCAAATATGGGTCAAATGTGTCTACATGGCAACACTTTTGAGGGCAATGAATTCTGGACTGGTTTTCCAGTTGTTTTTTATTTCGATTCGAATTTTCACATAATTGAAACCCCATATCCAATCGTATTCGTTTTTCGAATTTATCTAACAACTGATGGAGGAACTCATCTCCCCCACAAAATCCTAAACTTAAAGGATCACATTGTAAATTATTCTCTCACTCATCTTACCTGGCAAATGTTGAGTTGCTTGCGGTATGCTACTTTGCCGTTGCATACGTTGCATTTGTTGTTGCTGGTTTTGTTGTTGTTGTTGGAATGCATTGCCAGCTGCAAAGGGTGATTGGGGTGATGGGGAATTTGGTGTCGGTGTAAAACCACTATCGTTTGTCTGAAATGAATTCTGGCGCTGGAGACCAGCGGCAGCAGCTGCAGCATTTGGACCCTGAGGTCCGCCAATAATACCCGGACCCGAAGGACCTTGAGGTCCAGTGCCACTGGGTGAATTTAAGCCTCGTCCTCGTTGTTGTTGTTGATATTGTCTAGCATTGTAAGGACTAACTCCCTGTAACAAAAACGAGACATTTTAAAAATATTTTCACACACACCTCACAAAACACCACTCAATCTAACCTGTAATTGTGCACTTAACATTGGATTATGCTGTTGTAATGAATGCCCTCTTTGTGGTCCAGCATTTGGTCCACCGCCCCATTGCTGGGGTGAGGAATTGGGTCCCAAGCCCGGTGAGGGTATACCAGCACTACCTGGGGTATTGGGGCCACCCGGCTGGCCAAAATGTGGTTGCCTGGGTGAGAGCTGAGCTGCTGGATTTCCTGCCTGGAAAGCAGCCATTTGTTGTTGCTGCTGTTGTTGTTGCGGTGACAAGCGTTGGCCGGCAGTTTGTGGATATTGGGGACCATAGCCTAAAAGAATACAATGGCATCAAATAAAAATTCGCATATCTTCAATGCTTAAATAACGAAAACCTACCTGGATTAGATTGTGGACTAAAGGGTGCATTGCGTTGACCCGGACTTAACTGTTGCTGCAACATTAATTGTGAGTCGGGTGGTAAATTTGTGCGTGATAAGGTGACATTGGGTGCCACGGTATTGAGCAAGGTACTTATATTGTTGAGACCAGGATTGAGACCTATAAAAATGTCAATGTCAAGCATTAAATACGTTTTAATCTTCAGGCTTTATCTTCGATTACTTACACAGCTGATCCCGAGCTGTGGCATTTTCCGGCACACGCATCAACTGGTTTTGTTGTTGCTGCAGTAAACGTTCTTTCTGTTGTTGCGCCAGCAACCGATCTTTCTGATGAGCCAGTAACTGTTGCTGCTGTTGACCCATTTGCTGTTGGGTCATGTTACGAAAGTGTGACTGCGACAGTGCCGCCATTACACCGCTCGGCGTTGAGACAGCATTCATGTGACCAGCACGCCCACTTGCTGGATAATTTGGTGGAGCTTTTTGCATATTCTGATTGGGTCGCATATTTTGTAACGCTTGCATTCGCATTATCTGTTGGGGCGTTAAGTTGCCCGCACCACCGCCCATACCTGGATATGCAGGAGGTTGTAGTTGTGTGTGATGCTGTTGCATCTGTTGTTGGTGCTGCTGGGATTGTTGTTGCTGCTGCTGCTGTTGCAACATTTGTTGTGCCGTCATACCCATGGGACCCATACGAAAAGCCGATGTCTCGCTCATTAACGATTTCTGAATTTCGCTAATGGCCAATTGATCGTTGATCTGTTGCGGTGTAAGACCTGTCGGCTGGTCATCAGGCACATAGTCCATAACACTGTCCAGTATTTTGGATAGTTCCTGATCACCATCACCCAAGATACCCGATGTGGAGGAGGAGCTGAGGGAGGATGTGGAAGAGGAGGTACCCGTTGTTGCACTTGAATTTGAGGTAGCTGTTGTTGAAGGAGCTGTTGTGCTAAGAGGTGGGGTGGCAAACGGATGATCTCCCGTTGTAGATGACGATGAGAAGTCCATTTGACTGCCCTGCTGCTGAGGATGAGATTGTGGTAGTCGTTGTAAATTCGAACCTACCGCCGAGGATTCCAGACCCTGTCGCTGCTGCTGCTGTTGTTGATTGAGGTAGACATCGGAAGGCTGTTGTTGTTGCGACGGTTTTTGTTGCTGCGCCAAACCTCTTCCTCGTCCCGGACCACCTGGACCAATCATACTGCCACTATTGGCCATCGTTGTAATGGTTGAAGCCTTTCCGGGCATTAGACCCATGGTTGTGCCACCGCCCATTGATGAGACAATATTGCCCGGGCCCCTGGTGGGCACCTTGTCCGGAATTGTTTTTATAACAGGCGTAATATTCATGGTAATATTCTTTGGCGGATTACTTAGCAGTCGGGCAAGCATTTTATTTCTTTCACACAACTTTGAAGGGCGATCGTCCGATCTCTTGGCCGAAAGACCATCATCGGGGTCGTTAAGGGATCGCTTGCGTGTCATAGCCGGATCACCTTGATGCTTCAAAATTCGACACAATTCTTCGGTGGTTAAATTATTGGGATTTTGATGGGAACCATGCGGTTCATCCTTAATGCGTACCATGTCGCTGGAACGGCCCATAGACGACATGCCTTTGTTGTTTTCATCGTCTTCGGATTTGAGAAGCTGTTAATCAAAAAACCAAAGTCAATAAAGGAAATTTAAGAAAGGTTAGGCTTCCACTTACCGATAGCAACATGGGATTACTGGAATTAGCTTGTTTCTGCATGCCACTCATGCTGAACATGCGCTGCATACCGCCTCCAGGACCAGAACCAGGGCCCATTTTAAACATACCACCTAAGCTCGCCTGCAGACCCTCCTTGTCATCCTCTTGCTTATAGAGCTGAAAATAGATTCGAAAGATATTTTAGAAAAGGACTTACAATTATTCGCATAAACATTTCCCCAAAATTCACATTAATGGATTGATGGCCCGCCTATGCAAATTTCACACCTTTACTTACTTCTTTCTTCCTTACCTTCAACAAATTATCTTTGTCATCTCCATCGCTGCCATGCATTGATGATGAATGTGTTTTATTGGTAAGTAAATGTCTTAAACGTTCCGATTCTGTGGGAGGGTTTTGAGGTTGTTGGCTTTGTTGTTGCTGCTGCTGCTGCTGTTGTTGTTGAGACCCACTCATACCACCAGAATTGCCACCAACAACACCACCCATCATTAGGGGATTGGTACCACCATTGCCACCGTTTGGTAAATTTCCTGGCATACCAGACATGTTGTTATTGCTACCACTATTGTTGTTGTTATTATTATTCATAGGATCCTTATCCATTTTATCACTACTGCTATCGAAGGAATGAAAACCAAAATTGCCAAAAGGATTTCCGCCACCACTGCTACCACCGCCGCCACCGACACCCGATTGACTTGCATTCGATTGTGGAGAGGGCAAACTAGCCGCCGAATGAGATGACAATTGATACGGCGTTGAGGGCGATGGACAAATAGCTGGACTATAACCATGACCAGCCGACGGCGGTCTTGGTGTACTGACGGGTGTTGTTACCGAAGCCCGTGAGTTCGGTCTTGAATCATTCCAGGCCTCGAATGAAGAAGATCTTAAGTCAAAATCAAAGTCGTTACTATAAAACGATGGCGGTTCGTGGCCGGCCGGAGAGGCGGGAAACGAGTTCACCATTGATGAGTTGTTGGAGACAATGCCCGAGGTAGTAGCTGTTGTGGAAGATGATCTTTGTACAGAACCCAAGCCGCTGGCAATATTGTTTCCTGCACTGCCAACCCCGCTGCCGGTGCCATTAATAACTGCCGATGTCATCAGGGGTCCGCCCACACTTATTGTCTGTGTCGAATGCTGCTGCTGTTGCGGTGGCATACCACCGCCACCACCACCTACTAAACCACCCAAACCTGAGACATTCACCAAAGGCGATGACATCGAATTTGTATTCACCAAGGAATCCATTGATAGGCTGGAAACCAAAGATGATACCAATGAACCGGTTGTAAGTAGTCCTCCACTGTTGCCACTCAGCATACTGGTGCTATTGCTGTTCATATCGTTCTCAGCATTCAGCAGCGTGTGTACCGACATAATAAAATCACTCTCACCCGGCGTATGGTTAAGGAACAATCTCGAATTGGCCTTGACATGAACATAGACATCGGGTGTCCCCAGACAAAGGCGAAATGGTTTCGATATATGATTTGATATGGGCGGGTTAATTGATACCACACTGCTGCCTGGCGATTGTGAGGCATTGATCGCATTTACCCCGGCCGCTGAATTTTGGACATCACAGAGATGTGTCTTTAAAGCTGATAAATCCTGAGGATGACACAGATCCTGCAGCAAACGTCCCACCCATTGGGTTAAATGCTTTTTGTAGGGTTCACGCAAGCTTGTGGCATCGAGGGTAATAATTTTGCCATGTATGTCTAGTTTGAAGGTAACCTGTTCAATGGTTGGATGCTGGACATGTTGTTGTATGTTCATTTCCAAAGGCGATTCGTCCTCAGGTCGGGTAATTAAACATAAAACAGAAGAGGCAGAATCAGCATCGTCTGGAAAAAAGAAAGTTATGAGTAAAGTAATATTAAAGATTGGCTTAGTGATACTTACCTTTAACGGGCGCTGCTATTAAAACAACTTCTTCGAATTTCGATTTTTGGTCCATAGAATTACTATCTGTATTATTTGTGGTCGTTGTGGTTGTTGTTGACGATGATGAAGACGACGAAGAACCTGAGGTTTGGGTTGCCGAACGTGTATCTTTGACTAACATTCGGACTTTTGTCGAAATGCTACGTTTCGATTTGCCTCCAACAATGCCACCTACACCTCCACCGCCACCACCATTGTGATCATCAACATCACCTAGACCCCAACCTGAGTTTAGATCGTGTTTACCACTGCCGGCACTGTTGGGACCATTGCCGCCAATACCAACACCTGCGCCCAGACCTCCTACTCCTCCCGAAAGGGTCGATGACATATTATTTATAATGGGATCCAATTTGGCATAATCGCCCGCATGCAGGTACTCATACAAGGGTCTACGATATAATTCTTGTTTTTCATAACCAATTAATTCTTTGATATTTTGTGTACAGGACTCGATAATGCCTTCGGCATTAACCTGCAGCAAAACCCAGCCGACCGAAGAGATGTAATGTTCTAAAGCTTCAAAATAGGCCGATATTTCTGGCACTTGTCCATTTAGCAGTGATGGTTCGGGCAGTGGCGGTTCGGTTGATGAGACTTCACCCTGTTGTACCGGATGTATGGAACAATTGTCGGTGGCACAACGACTGCAACGTGTTGAGGTTGTTTGGTTGTTGTTATTATTACTACTGCTGTTGTTGTTGTTCGTACTAGTTGCATTGGTTGGATTCGTAGAAGACAACGTCGACGATGTTGTTGCTGTTGTGGCTGATGTTGTGTTAGCTGGTGTTGAGGAGGATATATCACGACTTTGGCCTTTGTCACAAATATCACGATACTGAAATGAGAGGGAGGGGAAAGAAATAAAGAATATTATAATTTTGCAAAAAGGTATTCTACGAGGATCTGGTTTTAAATGGTCTAAAAAAAAAGGATCAATCACAAAAAAGTTGTCTATGTTTCGCCCAGGGGCGAGGCTTTTTAACTTTTCGTACCAATTGTTATACGTCCATGGATCGCCTAAATAAGGAAACTATGAATTTAGGGTGTTTGGAGATATTAATTTGCAACACAATCAGAGGTAATTTCACATTTCAGGTTGTCTTTGGGTATATTTCACACTCCATACAAGATTTCTTCCACATTTTGCCACCAAATCAGCTGTAACTTTACATTTCGGCCCTCAGCGGAATTTTCAATGAAGATCCACTTTTTTGCATAACCCAACATACCGATACCTTTAGGTTTTCGATATTTTGAAGGTCTCGGTGGCAATATGCTGTAATTTGACATTTTTGGTTCAAAGTGGATACTCTAAAGCCTTGCGGAAGATACCAATAAAGATCTGTTTTTTGTATAGCCCTTATATTCGGGTGCTTCCTAATTTTTTTTTCATTCAAATCACTTGCAATTTGATATTTGGACTTCCTTGTGGTTAGATTAACTCCTCTCACAGATATTCAAAACTGGCATAGCCACCATATTATGGAGCTTCTAAATGTTGGGGGCTTCACGGATAGACGATATGCCCGATATGTCAAGTTTCCACATGGGAGATGGTATAAAATGTTAGCTAACTTACTTTTAATTTGTTTTTTTTTTCACTTTACCTTGGCATTCGCCGAAATGGAAATCTATTGACTTTGCAGTAGCAGGTTTGTACTATACCACCAGCAGAGCCCACTTTAACCCCGCAAAAGCAAAGAAAGAAACGAATGAAAAAAACTTTGATTCTTCACCTCTTCAATTGGCGATCGACGATTAAAACGTCATTTCTTTTGTTTTTATTTTAGCCACTCATCCTATTTCTTCTTCCGATTTGTTGTGACGCCGCCGTCAAATGCCTAACAAAACACAACAAAATACTATGGTTATTTTATTTTACACTTGCCGTGGTGGATGCCAACTCTGATAAATTTGTTTTTGTTGTCGTCGTCGTCTTCGTCGTCGCCTGTTGTTACTTTTTAAGCTCTGCTTTACAAAACTGTCAGTTATTAGTATTGTTTTTGTTATTGGTGTTGCTTGTATGTTGCTTCTTCCCTGTTTATTTTTTCTTTATTTTGAGAATTTCATAATAAAACAAAAGTGGTGTCAAAATGATTTCACAATTTATTAAGAAACACCGGAGTTAAAGAGCATTATTAAATGTGAAGAACAATGAGAGAGAGAGAAGCAACGGCGAAAAAACCCCACAAGACTCCACAGCACTAATTGCATCTCTGAGAGTGGATTGAATGTGATGATGAGAGTACTACAGTTGTAGTGTGAGGCAATGTAAAAACAAAAAATATGCAAAACCGCCAAAATTTTTGTGCTTTTTTTGCAAACTGTCACTCAAATGACAATTAAACAAATACTAAGAAATTTGTTATATTATTTTAATAAAACACCACAAACAAAACAACAAATTCGCCAAGCTCTATAATTGGCAATACACAAAAGAAGTGTATATTGGGGTGGAATGTTTGCAGAAGTCAATTGGATTAAAAATAGATGAATAGGAATCTATTTGGAAAATGGATTTAAGAAGGCAATGCACAGTAAGACTATGAAAATAAGAGGAAAGTTAAATCTCTTACAAAGGAAAAAATAACAATTTTATGTGTATTTTGTTTTTATTAAAGAATAATGCAATTTTAGGACATAAATTCATAATAAAGAGGAAGATTTGCCATTAATAATGACAGTCAATATCAGCAAATGGCCGCTACGCTAAATTAAGTTAATTGGATTAAATTCTGAATATCTAATTGGAATTAGATAAGAGGAAAGGTAAATGGACATAAAATCTCCTACAAAATGTGAAACTATACATTTCATTATCAGTTTTTGTTTAAAGGAAGTTTAAGAAGCATGTCGGCAAGAAGTCAAATAAAGGTGGGAAGCCATTTGCGGTTTGGCTATCCACAATTTCATAAATAATTTCCTTATACTTTCCTGTAATGTAAGAATACATAAAACGCTTTTTTGACTGGCTTAAGTAAAATAAGGTCCAATGATACACAGTCTAATGGATGGTCAGGATGCAGGATTGGCAAAGGGCCCAAATGCAACCGATAGATCCACAAATGCGGAAAGTGTTCGGTTGGAAATAAGTAAATGTAAATTATTTTTATACCCTCCACCATAGTATGGGGGGTAAGTTATCGAAATATACATTTTAGACTCCACAAAGTATATATTCTTGATCAGCATAAAATTCTATGTCGATTTAGGGATGTCCGTCCGTCTATCCGTCGGTGGAAATCACTCTAGCCACCGAACGGAATGAAGTAGATTGACAAAAATTTACTCAAATGTATATATTGGTATTGAAAATGGGCCATGTAGGTCCACATTTTGGTATAGCCCCCATATAGCGGTATCTTCCGATATTCGGTATTTTGATGATTTTAGCGACATTATTCAACGGAATTGAGTCAAATTCCATATTTGAATATCGTAATGGGTCCTACAACATATGATGGAAAATTGTCTATGCAGGTCCACGTCTTAGTATAGCCCCAATACAACGGTACCTCCCGATATTAGGCATTTTAAAGATTCTAGCGACTTTATTCACCGGAATTGCGTCAAATTTCGTATTTGAAGTTCGTAATAGGTACTACAACTTATGACAGAAAATTGTCTATTCTGGTCCACGTGTTAGTATAGTCCCCATACAACGGTACCTCCCTTTATTCGGTGTTTCGGTATGATATTAACGACATTATTCTCCGGAATTGTGTCCAATTTTGTATTTGAAGTTCGGAAACATCACTGTAGCCTATAGCATCCACGTCTTCGTATAGCCTCCAAATAAAGGTTTGAGCGGTATTTTTCGATGGATTTTTTTTCATTTTCAAGATCCTTCCGAGTGGTGGAGGGTATATAAAGTTCGGCCCGGCCCAATTTAGCTTTTTTTACTTGTTCTTTTTGGTTTTGGGCAAATCACAAGACGCATCTTAAAGCGAAATTGCGAAGGAATACCGTTAATTTTTCGGGCATTTGAAGAAAAGAAGGACCTGCATTATCTATAGATGAAGGTCCAACGACATAAGAGATAGTCTCTACATAAAGAAGTCAGCCGGTTTGAATAGCATTCATACTGATCTAGTTAATCATTAAAATGAGTTCACACCCCCATGCATTATAGCTGCAGAACTTCGACTGCCTACAAAAAGTAGGTCCTACGATATAAGAGATAGTTTGTATATCAAGAATGATATTAGAGGTAGTCTCTAAATTAAGAAGTCAGCAGAAGGTATCCAATCCCCCATGTATTATTGCTGCAGAACTTCGGCTGCCTAGAGCAACTAATAGAAATTTACGAAAGGTCTATCCAGCATATGATACAGGCCCACATACAACACTCCCCGCCAAACCTACCAAACTTACTCCTAGGAATCTTTGGCTACAGCCTAATCAGAGTACCTGATTTCTTAAATGCGAATTTTTAAACAGAACATGATTAGCACATTTTATTCAACGAACTATGTTACTGCTCCAACAACATTGAGGATGTAGGGGGGCTTTTCGTGCCTCAGGTATTATTTTTATATTTTACGAATATTTATAAATATTTATAACAATTCATTGAAGATCTCCGAACGAATTGATTGTATCGTCACCCGATTCTTTCAAAAATAAAAAATAAATGCCAAGGATATGTGCGAATTTTTTGTTTAGATTTTACTATTTTATGGAAGTTTCGAACGTTTTAATGCTAGATTTAATGACCAGAATTGTTGGTTTCACAGTTTCTTATTTTCTTTTTATTTGAGTATTTGAATAAAAAGGGGTTTGAAATCGAATATATATTTTAGAAATCTTTAATGCAATCTCTTCTACTCACATTTCTAATCTAAATATCACAGTTTTGTTTGGAACGTATCAATATTTTTTTTGGTTTTTCACGAAATTCATTTAATTAAAAAATTGTAAAATGCAAATTGTTGTATGTTTGTTGTTTTTTCTTTGGACCACCCTAATATAAATAGGTATAAACAAAATTATTTTTTTGTATTTATTTGTGTTCACTACGTCGTCACATGAAAAAACAAACGAATTTTTGTTGAAGCTAGGTAGGTAGGTATTTTTTTTTTTTTTTGTTATTGGATTTTTGCTCGATCACTTTCACTTCGTTGAATGAATTAAGAAAAAACTTTACACGGAACTTGGCATTGCACTAAAAAATTGACAAGAATTTATTGGATTTTTTGTGAGGGGAACAGCAAACATAGATTGGCAGAATAATTTAAACATTTTTTAGATTAGATTTAGATGGATACTCTTTGAAATTTATTTTTCAATTTCTAATTTTTATTTCAATATTTTTTAAACTTTTTTCTATTATTCACAGACGAAAATCGAAATAGGTATTACATTTACACGTTTTTTCAACTCGGCATTTACGGAGAGAGGTGCTTTCTAACTCTTACACAGCTTTGCGCGATTGCAAACAAACCAAAAAACACTTAATTTTTTTTGTTATAACGAAACAAAAAATAATAATAAAAAGCCCGTAAAAAACACGGCAAGAAAACAAAAAAACTGTGAACTCTTCGTCGTCGTATGCCCGCAAATGAAAAGCGCCTCGATCAACGGACAATAAAACAAAACACACATATGCAGTTGTGTGTCTAAACGAGTGTGTGTGTTTTACTGAAACACCGAAAAAAAGTTAAAGAGCAGCGGCCAAATTTCAACTAAACAACCAAAAAACAAGCAAATACAAAATAATACAACAACAGCGAATGCGATGAACGTGGACGACGAAGGCAGCGGTAACAACAACAAAAACAACAACGCTACGTTGTTGTCAACAAACGGTGAAAAAGTATAAGAATTGAATTAAAT